TTTCGATATACATTACCAGTGTTTCCCATACATTGATTTATTTGTGGCGTTTGATTTCGTTGAATAAACATGAGCGCTGCACATTTCAAAATCAAAACGCAGCGCAGGTGTTTTGTATGAATGCATCTCTGAAGGGAATTGTCTTCAGAAAAGTTTCGATGACATTTTCATTTTTATCTGATAGCGCAGCTTTCATGAGCGGAGCTGCTTTGATTACAGCCATTACTGGGGAAACCGCTAGTTTTATCACTCTAATAGCGCCTCCTGCTGGCAGAGAATGAATTTGCATTTTCAATAATAAGCCTGTCTCCAGCAACATGTTTTTGTTGTTGCTCAATTTTTTTGTTTTCTGCAGCAACTCAGAGCACTTTTCACACTCTTTATCCTGGCTGAAGCACATTTGTTTCAATCTATAAGAATAATCAGACTACACTATCAGTCAATATATATATAATTTTAGCAAAATGCTGCAACATATCATACTGTGGAAAAAAAATATACTTTCACATGAATACTTTTTTTACAATAAAATCTTCGCATCCATTCTTACGCTATGGAGATGTACACGTGCACCCTTAGTTTCACCGAGTGACAGACCTCTGCTAAATAATTACTGCAGTTCTTCCATAATGTCGTTTAGGTCTTTAAACATTAAAGTCCTGTTATCAGTACATACTTTAATATTAAATCTGTTACATCGGTGCATACTAGTGAAGCAAAATACACAAAGCTAAAGTCCCCGAAAAATGTTAAATGTTAATCTAAATAAATGTTAATCTAAATAACAATCCAAACCTACATATCTTGAACTGAATCACACTGGCATAAACAGAACATATGCGACGCAGAATAATCACACAATGTCATAGAAAAACAACACTCAGTACTGAAATACCCACAATGCAGTTAAAAGTAATCAATAAGCTTAAAAAGTACTGTACGACACTTTACTATTCATATTTAGACAACATCTGCAGTATTGTCTTCTAGATATTTACCTTGTTGGATGTTTATTGAGAACCGGAAAGACCGCAGGATCTAGCGCTAGCATAGATGACGCAGGAAATGACGGCATAAGTCAAATGTGGAATGTGTCGCATAATGTTGACGTCAAAAGACTCTTTGTCGCAAAATGTAACACACGAGTACTGGGGCTGCTTTTTCCATTTCGCATTATGAAATAGCAGTTAAAAAAAAGAACAGCAGATCATTTATCGGTATACACAGTAGAGCTTTTAGCTATTTTATTGGCATTACAGTGGCTGGAAGGAAATAAACAGAACCAAAATGTAATCATAGCTTCTGACAGCTTATCTGCTCTATCTAGTATTCAATCTGGGAAAACATCATGTAGACAATATATCATATACCAGATATTCAACTACTTTTAATACTGTATGATAAAGGGCTGGTTTTTTTTCTTCTCCTCTCCTTGTCCTTTCTTTCAAAGTACTGCCCACACTCCAGTCCAGTAGGTGGCGGTAAATGCACCGTTCAGTTGGTTTGCCAACCGCCAATAAAATTTAAAGAAGAAGAAGAAGGTGTAAAACACGAGGGCTAGAGTGCTAATCTCGAGCATTTTCAGCCGTCATGGTAAAATAAAGTGTTTATCTCAATAATGTTTAACAATGTACACAATGGCTTTATTTCTTCTTTGGTTGAATGACAACTTGTCTTTGTGTGAATTAGGGAAAACAGAAGAAACAGAAAAAATATGCTACCATGAAAAGAATGATCAGTTTAAAGGATCAGAGGATGTGAGTATCATCATCATTATTATATTATATTATATTATATTATATTATTTATAAGCAACGCATGGATTAAAATGCTTCTCACAAGTTGATAATATTGGTAGTAGCGTGTCACAGAGAGAATCTAATTAAATATGAAACCGTTACAAATTCGACTAACGTTACCAATCACAATTTTGGTTGATTTGATTTGGTGTTCAAGAAACGTTTTCCTTTTAATATCAATGTTGAAAACTTTTGCGGCTTAACTTTTATAGAGACCATGATACACTACTATTCCGAAGTTTGGGGTAAGATTTGAAGATAATAATAAAATGGTGCCTGACTTTTTATAACATGGGCTGAAAGGGAAGGGGGGGGTTGAGGGATGTTTAAAGGTTTAAAAACTAATAATATACGGAAAAGTGCAGACTGTAGGAACAGACATTTAGTCCACTGAGCAAAGTAACATGTTACTGCCATTTATTTTTCCTGTTGGGCCTCATTGTAAAGCACTCTTTATAAGATCCCCTTACCTTTACTGTTATAAATATCATTTCTGGCATCAATTTTATGATGCGTGAAAATGCATATTTTAGTCTAAATTATCATAATCATTTACTTGTTGCACTCCATCTGTTTGACACTCTAGCATGGTCTTTTTTTTTACCCCGACTCTCTTATGGTCGGGGCATTTCCGTATGGCAGTCACCATAACCTAGCCCAGTCCTGTGGAAAATTTCATATCTCTCTTATATTTTGATGTTATTTTAAATCAGTGCTATTGGTCTTACTCGTGTGTTTGAGGGTTTAACAAATATTTAACCAGTGAAAACCATTTAAAAGCGCTTGTCACTAAACGCCATTGGATCCTCAAATTGTCAGCGAAACCTCGTAACTTCACCCTCCTCCATACAGAATAAAGCGCCGTGCACAGCCTGGAGGAGACAGATCTCCGCTTGTTCACAATGCCAGGGTAAATAAATAACTGATGTTTGAAAAAGTACAATGTTTTCTTTACTCAAACACTATGTCTGTAAAGGCTAATGTTTTTTGTGTGTTTGAAGAGCGGAGAAGAGCATTTGCCGTCTAGTTGTAGCCAATATACTTTTGTACTTTTTAAATATCCTGTGCATATAGCGCTTCGTTTATATATGAGATTTGGGCCAAATGCATTAAACAAGAAAAACTAAAGCGCCCATATAGCTACAATAAACTTTATACAACCTGTAAAGTTGATGAAAGCGTAGGCTATAATGCGATGCTCTTGCTGCCTCAGATACAGCTGTTCTAAAGACAAAAACACAGATCTCCGCCATCGCTGGTCAAAAACTCCATTTGAGCTTGATTTTCATTAAAGGGGTCATATGATGCGATTTCAATTTTTCCTTTCTCTTTGGAGTGTTACAAGCTCTTGGTGCATAAAGAAGATCTGTAAAGTTGCAAAGACTAAAGTCTCAAATCCAAAGAGATATTCTTTATAAATTTAAGAGTCAACCACGCCTACCTAAAACGGCTCGTTCTAACACGCCCCCACATGTCTACGTCACGATGTGGGAAGATTTGCATAACGCCGCCCAAATGTTCACGCAAAGAAAGAAGGCGTAACTTTTATTCTCGCTGTAGTATTGTTGCTGCCGCCATGTCGTGAAGGCGCTGTGTTTCGTTGTGAAAGCGAAACTACCAGCCCGGGGTCGTCACATGTGGTTGCCGCAAGCCCGCCGGCCGCGCCGTTCTCAAGCCCGTCAGCCTCCGCTCACTCTAGCCCGCTGTGTGTTTTTTTGTGAAAGCGAAAATACTTTGTTTGGCCTTCCAAAAGAGGACACGACTAGAAATCAGTGGTTAAGTTGTCTTTACAACACTGTTCCAGAACACTTCAACCCAAATATTCAGATGTGTGCAGCACATTTTATGGAGGACTGTTTCCTGGCAGAGTAGACTACAATGCCGGCTGTTCTGACGCACAGACTGTAAGTACGTTTTTTATATTTAAAGAATTTGCCACTGACGATTCAAACGCGAGTTTTGAGCAGTGTAGAGTAGCACTTGTTGTTTGTCATTTCTCTGATCACAAATGCAGACATGGTTTTATGTTTACGCGGCGCGATGCAACGCGTAAAAAGACAGTATAAGTCATTATAATCCGTAATTATGTCCCCACTGGATGCAACAAATGCCTCGTTTATAATGGGTTTAATGTTTTTGTCGTCACACGCTTGAGGTATTCGGTATCCGTCACACGCTTGAGGTATTCGGCCAATCACAATGCACTGGATAGCTGGCCAATCAGAGCACACCTCGCTTTTCAGACCGATGAGCTTTGTAAAAAATCTATGCGTTTCAGAAAGGCGGGGCATAGAGGAGAAACTAATGTACAGTATGTGGAAAATAATGTGTTTTTTGAAACTTAAACCGCATAAACACATTTCATTACACCAATTACACAAAATAATGTTCTTTTTAGCAACATCATATGACCCCTTTAAGTGTCTGATAAAGCCACAATACTCTGACGATGCAGTGTTTAATTATTGAAATAAAAATAAAAAATCCTTTTCTATCTTTATTTCCCCCTATACTTCAGTGCTTAGTGATGTGCAGTGGGATTTTTTTTATATCAAAACTGTAACCCCCCCCGATTTACACCACTGCCATAACCTATGATTTTGTGAAATGCCGCCACTGCTTATGGTTATGACAAACTGTTAAGAAATATAAATATGCACATAATTGTAATGTACTTATATTAAACAGTACGCATTAAACAGTACAACCACTCTGTTAGGACCTGACATGGTAATTGAGGCCCAAATTAATCTCTGCCATGTTTAAATGCATCTTTTATCATACAAGCATGTTTTTCACTACTATGTGACGTTAGTGACAAAGGTTCTTTGTGCGGTTCTCTTGTTGATCACCATCATCCTGGAGGTCAGGATTTATCTGCACCGAGTTTACAGTTCATCATAAGAAACGCTGCAACATTCCATAAACAAATAAGTAAGGTTGGGCGATATAATGGTAGACACAATAAAAAAAGTAGACATTTAGTTTAGATTTTTCATTGTTTTTAAGCATTCTTGCGCAATAAGCAGTGAAAAGATCTCAATTTGGTACAGTGTGCACAGTCTGTAAAAAGTAGCATCTCATAACCTTGCTTTTTTGCCCCCCTTTTTTTTGTCCAGAAAAGAACAGGACAGGGCAAAAACACAAAAGAAGAAGAAAGAAGATCCCTCAGTCATTAAAGAACAAGAAGTGTAAGTTTGAATTCTATATTTTTGATTGTGTGTGTTACTTTGCATCTATTGATACATGCTGATTATTTTGCAGAAATTGCAATATGCTTATTTGAATGGCATGATATATCAACATTGACTCACAGTATACAGTTTGATTATATCTATTCTAATATTTTCTCCAAAAATAGAATAGCTTTTAGTGAAAAGTTTGGATATGGGACTTTAAAAAGGTAATCAATGATTCCCAGAGGCACACGTATTAACAAAAATAATACAACCATACAGAACTTCAAAGCTCTAAGTAGTGGCCACTCCATGTTCCATTTAATAAAGAATTTTGAGTATACTGATGTCATGGTAAATTCAATCCCAACATGTAAAACAAAATAGTTTAAACTTAATTTAAAATTAGTATTTAGCTGTACCATACAAATATTATTTCAAATAAAATAAAATTAAACTTAAAAATTATTTTTATATACTGTCCAGTAGTTTTGCCAAAAGTACCCGTACTTCAGTACCAAGTCGATACTTAAATTTTAAAAATGTAACCATACCAGTCTTTATGCAAAATCTGTAATAGAGAGTAGTGGATCGATCCAGTACCCGCTAATAGGCAGCAGCTTTTAGTCTTTACTGTATTTGTGTGAGCACTCTGTGAAGAGCATCAAAAATTTCAGTTTGAGTCACAGCGAACAAAGCACACCAAATGAGCTCTAAATAATTTTATATTTCTCCATCGTTTTTAATTCGATTGTCATTCACAATACTTCGTGGGAGTTTTTTTTCTTTCACCAAAACCGTTAGATATAGGCCAACAGTCTTGTACATGTCTTTTTGTCAGATTTTCATATACTATACTTTTTTGCTTCAAATAAAAGTTTGTAATGTTGTGTTTCACCTTGAGGCTGTTTGTCTTGGTTCATGGCTTAAAGAGCTTTAAAAAATACTTTTTTAAAAATCCCTATGGAAAAAAATGAATTGCAAAAAATACTTCAGAAACAAATGCCACTGAAAAAGGGGGAAAGTCTATAGCGGGTGAACTGAAGTGATATTAGCTTCATTGATTATAAAGGGAGTGCTCTTTGCTTGGATTCTCTATGTAGGCTAACCCATTTATAATTTGACTAAAAATATATTTTTTCATGCTGCAATTTACACACTGCAAAGTTTCGAGAGTGAAGGAAAAATATCTATCAAAATAGAACTGTGCATTATGTGTTGATCTTTTTAATGCAATGTTTACATAATTGAACAATATTTTAAGGCTCCATGCTAATGTTTTAACATATTGTTTACTTATTGTTTACTACTTAATACCATGAATAATTGACTCATTATATATATTTTTTTAATTAAACAATTAAAATATGTAATTTTTTTAATTTAAAAAAGTTTAATTAAAAAATAAATGTAAAATAGTCACAATAGTTTTGCTATAGTACCGAAATTTACTGTATTAGTTTCATCTACTGAAATTCTGGTACCATGACAACACTACTGTCCAGTAATGCAAATAGATCACTAGATACATCCAAACAATTTATGACAAATGTACATTTTCCAAATTTTCAATTGGAACACCTGTTCTTCTAATGTCCTTACTCTTCTTGGATAGACTTCAAATTAGACATGACACAAATTTTTAATAAAACAAGATATTTGCAGACAAATGGTCTTTTTTTTTTTTTTGTCCATACTTGTCAAAATTTACCATTAATTATTTATCATATAAATATTCTAAAGCAGTATTTCACCCCACAATGATAATTCTGTCATCATTTACTCACCTTCACAACATTCCAAACTCATTGGATTTTCTCTCCCTCTCTCGCTCTCTCGCTCTCTCTCTCTCTCTGTGTGAAATACCAAAGATATTTGAATTAGGTGCTCAATGGACCATAAAACTCACAGATCAATTCATATTATGCAAAAATGTAACTTTGTGTTCTATTTATTACTTAAGTACTTCTTTGATACCACAGCAAATACTACCAACCTAATAAAGTTCAAACATTATTAATAATAACAGAACAATCAGTAATAAAATGGGACCAACAACAGCTTGTTAAACAAAAACTTGCTGAAACATGTATTCTGAGATAAATTTGTAGGTATGTGTCTATTCAAGTGCGAGAAGACGCAACAGAAAACTTAATTCTGTGTTCTTGCACTTTCTGAAACACGCTAGTGTGTGCGCAGAAAACAGCATGCGAGTACCAAATTGTGTTCTCTTCGCTTCTTTAATTGTTTAAAAATGCTTCAATGTTTAATTGTCAAAACTTAGAAGTGCATGTGCATCAGTCTATGACGGTTAAACTTTGCAACTAATCCACGAATCACATCCGTGCCAAACGGTGGGGCTGGTCCGTACAGATCACAGAACAACTATGATCCATAGAACCCCTAATTTGAATTAATTGGCTGTTTTTGTCCATACAATGAAAGTCAATGTTTTCCATAAGTTTCATCCACCAAAAAGAAGTAATCTGTACAACTGTACAAGCTGTACCAGTGGTATTACCAAGTCTTCTTAGGTAAATTATCACTTTAGAAGATTTTTACATCAGAATATCAAAAATCCAACTTATAACTTCTGTCAGGCCTAGTCGAACATCACACACGTCATCACAGAAAATGAATTTCACATTTCAGTGCACAAACTTCTGTAGTGATAATTATAGTAATATGTAGTGCTGTCAAATGATTAATCATGATTAATCGCATCCAAAATAAAATATTCCGCTCATTAATGGAGTTAAGCATTGACATTACATAAAGTCATTGTTCAAAAGTTAAACAAAAACTTATGAATTTAGATATTTACACATATTTGTAGTGGATGCGCTTTTTTTTTAATCACTTTTCTTGTTGCATGCTGTTTTAATGGCAGCGAGGAGTGCTAGGCACACAGTAATGTTTCTTTAATCTGCAGATCTAATTTTTTTAGCAAGAACATCAACGATGCGCACTTACTTTGATATTGTGGCAGACTGCTGGATTCGGTGGTCGAACGGTCCTCTGGCTAGTTTAAATGGGTCCGAATATATTAGCCTACTGCACAACCAAGGCTGCAATGTTTATTTCGCGAACATTCAGAACATTATGAAAATAGCATTGTGATTGAAGGATAGAATCTGAAGCAAACGATAAGATTTGCACGTTTCTTTTTTTATAATATTTTGTCAGTGACGCCGCGTCAGACAATTATGTACACTTATTTACACGCATCGTATTTCTGATTCAACTATAGCCTATTTAAATATCCTAAAACATTTAATTTGTTTAAAACAATTATATACTGCTTTGGCCAGTGGAAAAGAAAGAGATCCACTCTATTCTAAAAAGATTCTCTGAGAAGTATTTTATACAATTTAGTTTTTACATTAATTTTGATATATTTATTCGAAAACAAGACAAGGACAGTGAATGATTTTTTAGCAATGTATTGTACCGTACAAATTGCATTTTAGTCCGCATGTCATATTTTCCTAATGTCTTGTACCTTTGACGGTGTTAAACATGGTGTCACGTGGATGGGAATATGCATGGAAATGATATGCAAATTAGGTTATGCATAGTAAAACTAGGCGTTGCAAGCTTCATATAGTGATTTTTGGGGAGGAGATGCATGTATCATCTCTGCACAATCTTCTGCTGACAGGGATTTATAAAAGGATTTTTGCGCAGGTTCTGGCGTAACTAGCTTTTGTGCGTACGTACATTTTTAGGATGAAATCTACGGAAAGTTTTATACATGAGGCCCCAGGGCTGGGCAAGTTAACGTGTTATCGCGTTAAAGCATTACTTAATTAATGCAGACAATTATTTTATCACGCATTAACACGTTTTTTTTTTTATTATTATTATTTTGAAAGTCACATGAGGGTAGGATGTTGATCAGTACTGGCTTGGGATGGGCGTCATCACGCGTCTCAACCGGTCTCAACCAATGAGAGCATTTGGGTTGGGCCTAGACTGCAGCAGCGCTCACATGAACGCTCCCAATAAAATTATTTAGGCTAAGCATCAACATTCACAAACCACTGTTCACTGATATTTTTAACCGAAAAGAATGCAACGTGCTCGTAATCACACTTCATAAGTGGGAAATAGGACGTTTCTGATAGCACATGAAAGCAGCAGGGAAGCGCTCTCGCTCGGCATTGCCAGCACAGTGGAGTGCATCTTTTTGTTAACTTTGTGGTTTATTATTTTGAGTCGTTTGGGTAACATGGCCTTCTCACAATATATTGCTTTACAGATCTATCACTTTTGCCGCTCAGAAAAGTTAACGCAATCATGCTGCAGGTATCAGAAGTTCGGAGCTCCTGCGCGGTTAGCGCTCACACTACATGCGTACCATTCCCGAGCCCAACTGAACCGGGCTCTGGCCCACCTCTTCCAACTGAGCCAGGAATGGCTAAACGAACCGCGCCCGAGTGCAGCACGGAGCGATCACACTAGTCAAAAGAACCAGGCTTTGGGGTCAAACGTGCTCGGGCACGGTTAAGATTGCCTAGTGTGAGTACATCCTTAAGGATTCTCCCGCATCACCGCACACACGAGTCCCTACCCGCCCGCACCTGCACTCACCCATCAAGTGTTGTCCCGTGCCGCACCCTGTTGCGTTGGGTGCTGCGGGTCCCGTGATAGTGCAGGTTTCTACTCGGAAGGTGCCTATTATAATGTTATGATCGAGGCTCTGGACTTTGAGCATAACTTGTTTTTCTATAACAAACTATAAAGTATTTTCTATAAAAACGTTAATGCCCTGGCAGTGGCAAATAGCTTTGGTTTTATATTTAATTTGATTACATTAATGTTTAAGTTGAGATTTACAAGAAATATTTTAACTGCTACTATGTAAAAAGAATACTGCTGTAAAAAAGTACCTTATTTGTTTAAAGTGTTTGCAAACCAAATGTTATTGCACTTTTGTTCATATAGCAGTACTTTTAAATGAAAAAAGTGCACAATACACAACTTTTGAATTCATTATTGAATTTTGTGCATAACAATGCGATTAATCGCAGAAAAAAATAATGAGATTAATCGCGATTAAAAAAAGGTAATCGTTGCCCAGCACTAATAAATACACACACATGCATGTATATATTTCAGAAAAATGTTATGTTTGTATATTAAATAAATGTATATATAATATAAATGATATTAATATAAATATATACATGTAAATACATGTAAATATTTTCAAAATATATACTGTATGTGTGTGCATTTATATATACATAATAAATATACACAGTACACACACATTATGTAAACAAACTTTTATTTTGGATGTGATTAATCGTTTGACAGCACTAGTAATATGTTGAGTAATACTTTTGAGTCTTTGTATGCATGTGTTTGCATTAATTATATATAATAATTTATGCCTCAACCTGTCTTTCTTTCAGAGCAAAGTACCCATCTTGTATGTTCTTTCAATACAACCCCCAGCTTGGACCTCCAATAATAATTTTGTGCGTTATCTTTCTTTCAGAGCAAAATACCCATCTTGTATGTTCTTTCAATACAACACCCAGCTTGGACCTCCATATTACATCCTTGTTGATACCAACTTTATCAACTTTTCTATTAAGGCCAAATTAGATGTTGTCCAGTCAATGATGGACTGCCTCTATGCTAAATGTAAGTCTCCACATTTTCAGAATTACTTTAATCAATGCTGATGTGAAAGAGGATGGGTGTTATGGGGCAGTTGTGGCCTAATGGTTAGAGCAGTGGTCACCAACCTTTTTAGGCGGACTAAATATCACGTTATTGGGGTCGCTTCAACCCGCAGACATGAACAACAACCCGCGGCAACAGTGTTAAGTAGCCAAATTCCGCGGGAAAACACTGCTTATGTGTTAACACTTGGCAACACTGCTTATGAACTGACCGCATAGCGTTTCCTTGTTTACCGCTGTAAACAAAGCAGAGTTGCGCTTTATACGGAGGAGAAGAAAATGCCATTGCCATCGAAACTTTTCTCAAGACAGTACCCTTCAGTGATACATTAACCCCATAAATGTAATGCATTTTTGTACTTTTTACTGTTTTTGTCGGGATCTACTGAGACAGTGATAAAGATCTACCAGTCGATCGCGATCGACGGGTTGGCGACCACTGGGTTAGAGAGTCGGACTTGTAAACCAAAGGCCGCGGGTTCGAGTCTACAATTCCAGCAGGGGGGGTGAATGTACAGCACCCTCTTCTCTCAATAACATGACTGAGGTGCCCTTGAGCAAGGCACTGAACCCCCAACAGCAAAAATGGCTGCCCACTGCTCCGGATGTGTGTGTGTGTGCACTTGGATGGGATAAATGCACAGCACAAATTCTGAGTATCAGACACCATACTTGCCTGCATGTCATGTCACTTTCATATATTGGATATATTGATCACTGAGATTCCAGTGCTGCAACATTGAACAAAAATTATGCTGTATTTAATACAGAGTTTACAACATAATCCTGTGGATGCAGGGCTGAAAATGGAGGGTTCCTGATTTTTATTTTTTTTTTTACAGAAATTAAAGATTTCGATCTTTTATTCACTTGGTAGTTCACAAAACGTAGCACAGTTTCCCTATCACTGCACATTCTCACTAAACCAATCAACAGAGCAGATCACTTCAGGTAAATTAACTGGGATGAACCAAGATTTTAGTCAAAAAACTGAACAAAAATCTTTATTTTAACATGTCATGAAATGGATAAAACTGCTGGAATTAAATTAAAAAAAAACTAGATTTTCTGTTATTGAGACGTACTGTATATTGAGTAAAAAAGTTTCATAACCTCATGTGATGAGGGAGAGGGAGTTAAACTGATTAATAGTCTGAGGTAACATCATCAAAACAATAAGATATCAATAAATTAGTTTCATCCTTTTTAACCATTGTTTGTATAAAAAAAAAAGAATGGACAAGTCAGCTGGTTGATTTCCATGCTGGTCTTCAGAAAAACAGCACCAGGCTAAATGAAAATGCAGAAATAGAACTGTTTCACCTGTAACCATAACCCGGGGGTTGTCCCCCCCCCCCTAAAAATATGATTAAAAAACACGCCGTGTATTATAAATAACAATGTTTTATACTTGAAATAATTGTGTAAGTAGTAATGCGTTAAAATGCGTTTTAAGTTTAGAAACATTTTGAGTCTCCCCCTCCCTTGCCTCACAGTGCTTTGGTCCAAATGGCTGCTTTCCTCTTTTACATCACCTACACACACACACAAGTCCGGTGAGAGAGAACAAAGCCAATAGTTGTGGAACTTCAGTATGTAAGGCTTTCAAGGCTATTTTATTAACTTAAACATTGAATGAAGTGATTATTTTCTCTTTCATACAGATAATGCCAATGTATTCTTCGACGAGTCACTATGTTGCGTTTTGAGCCCAAAACTAGCCCAAACTTTGTGTTCCGGGGGCTAAAATACACGTTATTGGGGTCGCTTCAAGCAAGAGTGATAAAGTAGCACAATTCCACAGGAAAACTGCGGTCTTGGCAACACTGTGATGGATAGTAATGTCTACAACGGACGCGACCGCTATTTTAACGAAGTTTACGCCCCTGCCTGTAACCTAATTAGATTTTTATTTAATTTATTTTAGTTTAGTTTAATTATAGTTATAATTATTTTTTATAATTTTTATACTTAAAGGGGTCATCGGATGCCCATTTTCCACAAGTTGATATGATTCTTTAGGGTCTTAAAGAAACGTCTATAACATACTTTGGTTAAAATTTCTCAATGGTAGTGAAAAAAACACCCTTTTTACCTTGTCAAAAACAGCTCTGTTCACAGCGACCCATTTCGGTGCATGTCCCTTTAAATGCTAATGAGCTCTGCTCACCCAACCCCTCTCTTCCGTGGGGTGACGAGCAGTTCTCTGAGGCTGTAAACTTTAGCTGCATTCGTCGCGGAACTTGCTAACTAGCACATTATTAGGAAAGGTGATTTGCAAAGATTCATAAAAAAACTTTATACTCTTCTGTAGGTGATCACGAATGATTTGCGTAAATACATAGAAGCATTTAGGTAGATCACGTTAGTGATCCCCTTCAAAAACAAAAGTAATCCACTGTGTCTTCAGCGGAGGAGACGTTCTTGACTACACTTGCTCTGGCATTGAAATAATGGCAGACTGTTTACAGCTCATTCAGGGCGGGTCTATGATACAATGCCAGTGTCAATCAACAATTGTGGGAGGGGCCTGTGCAGAACTACGTCACTCTGCCAAGAATCTGTAAACGGCTTGATCTGAGAAAGGGGTTATTATTTATGGGGAATGGGGATTTAAAAAAAACACTAGGTAGATTTTTATCATTAAAGGGTGGTTGTGTACACACACTGCCAAGACACATTTCAGTTCAAACAACATGTAAAAGTGAATTTTGTATCCCAGGTGTTACAATTTAACATATTTTGTTAAGTGAAATGAACTTAAATAGTTATAGGTATCATGTGCAGCAGTGAACACTGTGTAGGGACCCTGTGAATCAGAATGCAGCTGAACTTTAGTTTTTTACTGTCATTTAATTATTATTATTATTATTATATTAAATATTTTAAAAACCTTGAGCACTGTTCTAAGACGTTGTTCTCTGCCTATATATTTAAAAGGAAGAATGCATCCTGTGTGCAATGCTGTTGCTGACCAGGACTTTAAAGGGGTCATTTGATGTTGCTAAAAAGAACATTATTTTATGTATTTGGTATAATGAAATGTGTTCAAGCGGTTTAAGGTTCAAAAAACACATTATTTTCCACATACTGTACATTATTGTTTCTCCTCTATGCCCCGCCTTTCTGAAACGTGTTGATTTTTACAAAGCTCATCGGTCTGAAAAGCGAGGTGTGCTGTGATTGGCCAGCTATCCAGTGCGTTGTGACTGGCCGAATACCTCAAGCGTGTGACGGAAATGTTACGCCCCTACCATACTGTGA